AACCTGTTATCTAGCTAGTGCCTTCTGTTATTAGTAACTTGTTACCTTTCAACCAACCTTACATGTTATCTAGTTAGTGCCTTCTGTTATATAGTAACGTGTTACCTTTCAACCACCCTTACCTGTTATCTAGCTAGTATCTTCTGTTATATAGTAACCTGTTACCTTCAATCATCTTCACCTGTTATCTAGCTAGTGTCTTCTGTTATATAGTAACTTGTTACCTTTCAACCACCCTAACCTGTTATCTAGCTAGTGTCCTCTGTTATATAGTAACTTGTTATCTTTCAACCACCCTAACCTGTTATCTAGCTAGTGTCTTCTGTTATATAGTAACTTGTTACCTTACAACCACCCTAACCTGTTATCTAGCTAGTGCCTTCTGTTATATAGTAACTTGTTACCTTTCAGCCACCATAACCTGTTATCTAGCTAGTGCCTTCTGTTATATAGTAACTTGTTACCTTTCAACCAACCTTACATGTTATCTAGTTAGTGCCTTCTGTTATATAGTAACGTGTTACCTTTCAACCACCCTTACCTGTTATCTAGCTAGTATCTTCTGTTATATAGTAACCTGTTACCTTCAATCATCTTCACCTGTTGGATAGTAACTTTTTACCTTTCAACCACCCTAACCTGTTATCTAGCTAGTGTCTTCTGTTATATAGTAACTTGTTACCTTTCAACCAACCTAACATGTTATCTAGCTAGTGTCTTCTGTTATATAGTAACTTGTTACCTTTCAACCACCCTAACCTGTTACCTAGGTAGTGCCTTCTGTTATATAGTAACTTGTTACCTTTCAACCACCCTAACCTGTTATCTAGCTAGTGCCTTCTGTTATATAGTAACTTGTTACTTTTCAACCACCCTAACCTGTTATCTAGCTAGTGCCTTCTGTTATATAGTAACTTGTTACCTTTCAACCACCCTAACCTGTTATCTAGCTAGTGCCTTCTGTTATATAGTAACTTGTTACCTTTTAACCACCCTAACCTGTTATCTAGCTAGTGCCTTCTGTTATATAGTAACTTGTTACCTTTCAACCACCCTAACCTGTTATCTAGCTAGTATCTTCTGTTATATAGTAACTTGTTACCTTTCAACCACCCTAACCTATTATCTAGCTAGCGCCGTCTGTTATATAGTAACTTGTTACCTTTTAACCAACCTAACATGTTATCTAGCTAGTGCCGTCTGTTATATAGTAACGTGTTATCTTTCAACC